TTACGTCATAGGCACTCCTCTATTAAACAGACAATATTAATTTACACAATATAAATATAAGATACAGTAATATGCTTTAATAGATATTTAGGTATAGAGAAAAAATAATGGTTTAGAAGGTAGTTTTGACTGTTTGAAGCCGGAAGAACGTAACGCCCTTCACGTACGCGTCATGGTTTTCTGGCTGCTGAGCCTTATAGGGAAATGGAGTCTACGGTATCGTATTTGCAATGTCAGCAGAAATCTGTTATCTGTCGACATCGCAATAGAGCTACGCATTTCTAATTATAAAGTGCATACTGTGTGGTTTGCCTAATTACTGGGAACTCCTGGCATCAATATTTTTTATACATGTATTTTCTCAGGAACACTGTAGTAGTTAAAAATCACAGAAAAGTGATAAACAATTTAACAAAGGTGAAAAATAGGCATTTAATCAGTATATCAGGTTTGGTAGTCCTGACCCAATGTAAATACAATATTAGGATACTAATCTGTAACTAATGACCAGATTTTACTATTTACATGACACAAGTCATGATTTTATTAACACAGAGGCGAGTATTATGCTGCACTCTTTATTTCCCTCAGCAGCAAAGATAATGTAAACATTGAAATAAATATAGGAAACAGTCAGTAACATTTATCTTCCATAGCAACCAAACAGCCAATCAGATTTAACTCTCCAGAATAATAGGCGGTGTTCACTAAACTACTTCCTCTTTCTTGCCATCCCGAACGAGGATAACCGTCCAACCGAAAAGGAACTCCAACAAGAGGATAATGCCAATAACAAGCGGGTTTCCAGGTCAAGCTGTATGAGTGAGTAGAATATGGTAATATCCAAGTATAAAAGTGGATTCATGCTTAAAATAACATTGTGCAAACTAATAGGCAATATCCAATATAAATTCAGTCAACATATTGTTGAAGACGGAGACAGACATAAAAAGTTCAAAACCCAAATCACCTTAATAGGGAACAAGTCCGAATCAAAGAAACTTACCCAGATTACGCCACCATCCAGGGATGGGTAGGAAGGACAATACTGACCTCCGTGTCATTAATTAAATCATGTACTTCATGTAAAAATAAAATTACCAGATTTTACTAAGACACAGAGGCTCCTATCATACTAGTTTAAAGCTGTGAAATAACCATTCCAGCAAAATGTTGAATTAGCTTAAAATAAAAAAGTCTCACAACTTACATTCCGAAGACTAATCGGCAGCTCGTAAAATTTTGTCTAGTTGGCATCCTACCGCAGATGCTTTAGAGGCCATAGCACCCCATAGAGCATGAAGAGAGAATACGAAAGTATCAATGCCGGCTAATCTCTTAATCCATTTGACCCATCTGGCCAGAGAAGGAGAGGATACTGGAAGGTGTGGCTTGCGGAAAGATTAATAATTGTGGCCTCGTAGGATTTCGGAGCGAAGCCGTACGGAGTTCGTATTCCCGCAGACATGCCACTGGGCAAAGGAGAGGCTTCTCTGGAAATGCCGGGTAGAGTACAGACTTCGAAGAGGTCTTGGTCCTTCTTGAGATGTCAAAGAGGATGCCTTCCTGTGTAAAGGAATGAGCATCTGTGTCCAGAGCCTCTTTTGCATGAGATGAGGCAGAAAAACAAGACTAATTTAGCAGAAAGTTGTTTGAGGTATAACAAAACATTCTCCGTCCGTTACTCTAGAAAAATGGAGGACAAGAGAAACATCCCAGAGTGAAGAATAACGAGGGCAAGAAAAATGCACTCCGTGTAGGAGTCGACAGACAAAAGTATGTCTTCCGATGGGGACACCATTGATGCCCTGATGTCCAGCGGAAAGCGCAGAACGGTAAAGGTTAACGTGTGATATGCTTTCTCTGCTTCCAAATAGGAAGTCAAGAAATGCAAGATGGATGTTAAAGGAGCCGATAAGGGATCCAGATCTCTTTCCAGGCACCAACCATTCCAAGCAGATTTATAAGCTTGTCTAGTGCAGGGGGCCCAATCTTGAAAAAAGGCATTCGTCACCAGAACCATTGGATCTGGTCTCCAGCGGAAAAAATTTTTATGAGTTGAGCATTCAAACGAGAGGCAAAAAGATCTATTCCCCAAGGTACCCAAGTGTGTAGAGCAAAGGATCCCACCAGAAGTTCTAGGCAATTGATATGTAGCATCGATTCTAGGTCTAACCATCTGCCTCCTGTGGAGGTATCTCCACAACGCGGACCTCAACTGTGTAAGCTCGCATCAGATTCTATGATCAGGTCTGGAGTTTTAAAAAAGATAGTGCATCCATTCTATGCTTCCATGTGGGGAAGCCACCAATGAAGCTGGTCTTTCGCCTCTTTGTCTAATGTCCCCATGTCTTCGTAGAATGCTTCGCCTCTGAGGTTAGAGGCTTGCAGCCATTGAAGTGCTCGGTAGTGGATCGGACCTGGGAATATGACTTGGATTGAAGCTGCTAGGAGTCCGATGACTCATGCCAAGTGTTTGAGGAAGAGCTGGGGAACAGCCAATGTGCGTCTGATTTCTTTTTTGATATTTAGCAATTTTGATGCTGGTAATGTCTGAGAGGTTGAATCGATTACTAATCACAGGAACTTGAAACATTGACCAGGTGTTATGGGCAAATGCAAATATTACAAGTTTTAGAATGGAATGTTGTATTTCTTAAACTGTGTACTTTGTCTTTAAGAGATATTGCAAACTGACAAGGTGTTAGAAATTGAATATATTGTTTTTCATAACTCTTTCTTTAAGCAATAACCTCAGTGCATAATATGTTTGCGCCATTTTGTCCTTGACAAATTACAATAACAATAATGCATAAATAAGCTTCAAGGCTATGCTACGACTCTTTCAGTACATAATATACTTTGGTAACCTTAGTTGATAAGGATGTTCAGACTTTAAGATGCCATCTTGAACTAAGTCAGGAAAATTTCCATGACGTATACACCCTTTAGTTATGGCCTTGTATTTTTGCCAAGTTAAGGGAGGTCCTAAAAGGAATAAAGTAAAAGAAGTGTTACTTTTTCATATATGAACTACAGTGACCCTAAAATGAAGACACCTAAGGTATAAATAGGTGTACTTTTAAATGTTAAGGAACAGAGGAGAGACTTGGAGACAGACGTTGCTCTATCTTAAAATGACAGAGAGGCTGACATGATGACATGTTCAGAAGTAAGTTAACCTATTAATGATATTTGCAAGCATTTAATGTAATCTTATAAACTCTGCTATAATGGATTTTATATAATAAATATCTAAAAGATAAAACTATTGCTTCCAAGGCAATCCTTATTTTATATTGTATTCTCAATTATTTATATATGTTAAATAGAGGATCTCTTACACTAACTATATAAAATTATCTGTATGGTTAGCCCTACTAAGTTCTATGCTTTAAGACATTATATTGGTAAATAAGGGAACCAGCGCAGTTACACAGGTGCCATAATGGATTTTTCCCAATTGATAAGGAAACCCAGGTTTTGTAACAATGCCAGAGTACACATCAGATGTGTGTGGAGAAGGTTGGATGACTGGGCTAGGAGGAGTATATCATCCAGATAGATGATTAACCAAACGCCACGACTTCTTAACAGAGCAACCACAGGTTTCATGATCTTGGTGAAACACAATGGGGCTGATGACAGGCCGAACGGGAGGCATGTGAATCTCCATTTCCGTCCTGGCCATGTGAACTGTAGAAAATGTTGATGTTGTTCTGCTATAGGGACCATAAGATACGCGTTCTGTAAGTCTAATTTGGCCATCCTGTCTGCTGGTTGGAGTAAGTCGCATAGATAGTGTAAGCTTTCTATTTTGAAATGGTGGTAGGACACATAACTGTTCAATTGCTTTAAATTTATGAATTGTCTCACCCCTCCGGCTTTTTTTGGGTACCAGGAAGAGATTGCGGACATAACCCGGGGTATGGGTTGGGATCTCTATGATGGCTTGTTTGTGCATCAATTCTTGAGTTTCCTTTGATACAAGGAGAGTATCTTGATGGGAAAAGAAACAATCTCTCTGTGAGGGGAGAGTTGGATCAGGTGTGACAAAAAATCTAAGCCATAACCTGTTACAGCTTGAAGGACCCAAGCATCTGACGTCAGATGCGACCACACATAAGAAAAATGTATGAGTCTATCCCCCACAACCCAAAGTGAAGAAAGGGGAGAGTAGACATTTATCATAAGGTCGTTGTACAAAAGGAGCTCCTCGAATGCCCTTAGCGACCCAGGGTCTGCCTCTCTGTGGGAAGAATGCTGTTGCTGTTCTTTGCTCCTGAAAGCCAGCTCGTCCTAAATAGGAACTTCAGTTCTGTCTATAAGAACCTCTCTGTATGTGGCCGGACAGATGGCTGCTTCCTCTTCCAGCCCCAGCCATAATGTTTTGGTGAAAAAATGTTGCGCATATTGCTTTGGGCTTTTTCCAAAGCCGTGACTGTATGCACAAAAGACCTCAATTCTTTCTAAGGAGTCATCAAATAATAGCCCTCATTAATAGCTAGATTAACTAGCTTTGTCTCTATATTTAGCAAGATGGACTTGCAGCACTCGATAGCAAGCGCTGTGTTTACATTGCCCACTAGGAAAATTATTCTTTGGATACAACCATGGATGGTATCCTAAACCAGATCCCGGTTGTATTTGAAGATTTTTGCCGCAGGGCCAAAAATGTCCAAGACCTTGTCTTGACAGTTAGTTAGAGAAAAATCTAGACCCTTTCTGGGTTTCCACCCATTTTCCCTAGAAATTGGACAATTTTAGGGTCAACAATAGGCATTTTACACGCATCATCTGGGACAGTGGGGTGAGGGCATTGTGTAATTTATTCCGAATAGCCTTATCCAAGGGCTTACGAACTCTGGAAGCGATGTACTTCACCACAGGTGCAAAAGGGCACCATTCAGCTGAACGAGGATGTCTCAGCTCATCTGGATCAAAAAGGAGTAAACCCCGAGGATCCAGGATTCTGGAATCATCACTAAACCCCGACACACTTACCTGGACATCATAGCGGGGAAAGTGCTGAGAGAGGAGACGGATGCCTCTCCAATCGCACCGTCAGAGTCTGATTCAGACAGATTGTATGAGGTGTCCATTATGGACTCGTCAATTTCCTCCTCAATGTTACGGAGATCTGACTCAGATGAATCAAGCTGGGCTCTTGCCCACTTCCATTGTCTAGCTGATTTTGCCCGGCTAGTAGCTCTTTTGCGTGGTGTTGGTTGCCCGCCATCCATGACAGCAGGTAAACTGTCAGTCAATTTAGTTTTGGATGAATGTTTTGTCTTGGCCGGAGCTTTACGGCTTTGAGAGACTGGTGTCGGAGTAGATGCAGTCGACATAACAGTCTGCTGCGCTGACTGTTGGGCCTGTAAGAGGGCCTGGGTAATAGTATGTGACAGAGAAGTCAACATAGCACTCATGGCAGATACCATAGCCTGCATAATAGATCTACAGACTGAGGTGTCAAAGAGCGCCTGCATGTCTGCAGATGCGGAGAAATCAGGGGACAGAGTGCCTTACCCTGCATTTTTGTGGGGAACCTAAGGGGTTGCCCGAGCCCCAGAGGGCAAGGGTAAATCCCTATCAGACTGCATAAAGAATGAATTTAATACAACGATAATAAGCAATTAAATAACCTGAATACAGGGTTGTATAACTCAGAAAGGGAGAAAAGCTGAAAATACACTAAAAATAAACTCACAATTTTGAAATACAATAGGGATGTGCATGGGAAAAATATTCGGTTTGGTTCGGCATTCCAAAAAAAAAGTGTAGGGTTAGGGTATGGTTAAGTTAGGGGTAGGGTTAGGTTAGGGTAGGGTTAAGGGTAGGGGTAGGGCAGGGCTAGTTGTAGGGTTATGGTAGGGTTGAGTTAGGAGCATGGTTAGGGTTAGGAGTAGGGTTATGGTAGATTTAGGGGTAAGGTTAGGGTTAGCATAGGGTTAGGGGTAGAAATAGGGTTAGGGGTCAGTTCGGCGATTCGGTTTAGTTCGGCTTTCGGAAATTCAGCACTTCGGACATTCAGAATGAAACGAATTGCACATGTCTAAAATACAACACAGAGAGAGTAAAGATCCATCCATTCACCAAAACTGCTAAACCCCAACAAGGTTAGACAGGAAGAGGCAAGGCTATCAGTTAAAAAGCACCCAAAATTTCACAGAACTGTGAAATTTCACTAAACAAACGCTTGTTCACATTAAAATTCTATTAGACTCATGTGAAGTTAATGAACGGCTAAAAGAAACTAATTGCTCACATGCGCAGTTCATGGATCGGGTTGGAGAAAATAAAATGTGAATGAACGGTGTAAGAATAAAAAAAATATTGAAAGTACCGCACAGTACCCATGTGCGAATGCTATTAACTGAAAAGGGCCGCTACTGTTAAAATATGAAGAGAAAAGGGCACGAAAAACGCCACAAAATCAGTAAAAAAACGTTCGGTAGAAAGAAATGAAAGTAACACAATTAAATAATTAAAATAAATTAAATAAGCTGAAAAAGTTGAAAAGCATATGAAAAGGAATTCAAAAAACCTCCCGGAGCCCCTAAAATGGACTAAACGGGTCCGGGGGGCAGTCCCCTTTATCCAAAAAAGCAAATCATAACATACTCTATATTATGGAAAAATTAAAGCAAAATAACTAAAAATAGTAACAATGAAAACACTATAAGACAATAATAATATAAATATATCAATCCCACAGTAAAGAAACCATGGGATCAGTTTACTTAACTGCAGGGCAGTAGAGAAATAGGAAGTAGTTTAGTGAACACCGCCTATTATGCTGGAGAGTGGAATCTGATTGGCTGTTTGGTTGCTATGGAAGATATATGTTACTGACTGTTTCCTGTATTGATTTCAATGTTATAATTCTTTGCTGCTGATAATAGGAGCCTCTGTGTCTTAATAAAATCAGTAACTCTCAGTAACGCTTGTTATTTTATAGGAAACATATTTCTGGGTTATAACTTCTTGTAAAAAGGATGCTCGGACCACCTACCCAACATTTGTTTCTTATACAGATTATGATGTAAAGATGTACCTGTCTCCACACATTCTGTGATTTGTTGCTATGGCAATTAGCAAAAATGTATGCATTTATAAGGCCAAATTACACTTCCTCTTTCATATATAGGTAGAATTCTATGAGAAAACCTGTCTTGGTGACATCAGTCTACTGTACTGCAAATGTCTATTCATATAAAAATGAATGGCACTAGTTGATAAGTCAACAAAAGGAATACAGCAACTGTTAAATGCTTGTGCAGGGATCAGGGCCATATGAAGAGCCCAGTGGCCTGGTGCAGACAATTATGATGGGGCCTAATTACAAAATCTTATCGACCACAAACACTAAAACAGTCCTATCTCCCAAGTGTCATGTATCTGATGGAGATGGTGCTGGAGGGATACTCATAGGATGTAGCTATGAGAAAACACATACCCTATGCTAATCTCACACTTTCACCTTTCAAGTAAATCCATACCCCCTAACAGCAGTGTCTAGTGAAGCAGGAAGTCTATGGACAGGGTAAAAGGGTGGGCCACTGATACGAATTACAAAAAGAGGGCATGTCTGCCCAAAGAATTTGAAGGACAGCCTGGCATGGATGCATGTCAGGCTGAATGTCAGTCATGCACACTGGCCAACTAAGGATATACTATGCAGACAGCACCTTGAGCTTGGCATAAATGTGTCTAATGATGCACTCGCTCCACTCTTTCTAAGGATTGTCTCCTAGCACTCACATGTGCACTTGTCTCCTTACTGTCAGGGTTTCTTTGCTGTTTTAAACAGCCACCCTTCCTTTTTCAGTATCTGAGGTTTCAGCTGTAATTAACTATCAGCTCCTTCAGCATGTTGCCACGGTTACTCACCTGAGAATAATAATCAACCCTGCTGCTAATCAGTTCAGCCTATTTAAGCAGCTAATCCCAGAACCTCCTTGCCCTTGCGTGGTTTCCTGTCCCCCAGAAGTCTCCTTGTTCCTGTGTTTCCTGTTTGCTCCTGGTTCCTGACTCTGGCCTTGTTCCTGACTCCGCTGACCTCCGTGCTCCTGATCCTGGCTCGTCTGACTACCCGCTCTGGTGACTGACCCCTGCTTGCCTCCTGGACTTTGCTTTTGGTGATTTCTTTGTTGTTTATTAAATAAAGGTGTTTTTGCATCTAGATCTGTCTCTGTCTGGTTCCTGGTTCCTGACATTACGCAAGGGCCATGAATACAGATGGTACAGGCAATACACCTATACCTAACCTATTTACCCGGTGGGACCAGCAGAACCACCATTTGGACCAGTATGCCAATCTGAATCCAAAACCCGGCCAGCCTGCGATTGCGGCCGCCTCTGCCTCACTTCCTGTTCTAGCACCGGTTGTAGCCTCCGAACCTGTTGCGGCTAGAGGAATGACTGGGTCTGTCCCGCTCCCTCAGTATTTTGGGGGCAACCCAGCTCAGTGCAAAGAATTTATAAATCAGGTTAAAGGATACCTTGAATTGCTGCCCCAGGCATTTCCTACAGACAGCGACAAAGTCCAGTTCATGATTTCTTTGCTGTCTGAAAAAGCCCTAGCTTGGGCAAAACCTCTCTGGGAGGCAGAGAGGCCCATCATTTACAATTACCCTGAATTTGTTGCGTCCTTTAAAAGGGTTTTTGATATTCCAGCTCGCTCCACCCCTACTGCCAAACAACTCATGTCTAATACTCAGGGCACGAAAACTATTGTTAAGTATGCCAGTGAATTCCGTACCATGGCAGCAGAGGGTGGCTGGAATAACGAGATTCTTGTGGCTGCCTTTGCACAGGGGCTATCCGATGTAATGAAAAATGAGATTGCAGGCAGAGAATTACCTAAAGATCTCGAGGAACTGATATCATTTGTCACCCTCATTGACATCAGACTCCGAGAGAGATCCTCATCCAGGGAGCGCCTGCGGAGGCCTCCAGTATGTTTGGCACCGAGCTTTTCCTGCCCACCCAAACCTCCCTCACCTCCCATGCCTCCTGGTCCTGAGTCCTCTGTCGGTGTGGAGCCGAGGCGGTTAGGCTTCTCACGCCTCTCTGTCGAGGAGAGAGCCTTTAGGAGGAGGGAGGGCCTGTGCCTATACTGCGGACACCACGGTCACATATTAAAGTTTTGCCCGATTCGTCCGGTAAAGGGCCCGCACCCAAGATACTGTCAGGGGCAGATCTTGGGGGGTCTTTCTGCAGACCCAGAGATAAATAAGGACAAACCCTTGGTGCCTATTATCCTCTCCTGGCCGGAGTCATCCATTAAAACCCGGGCATTTCTTGATTCTGGGGCCGCAGGCTTGTTTATAGATTGTGCATTTGCATCAGAGCACTCTATACCCTTACAGCCTCGCAACTCCCCACTAGCTTTCGAAGCCATCGATGGCCGACCTATACAGCCAGCCCTCGTGACCCAGGAAACCGTGCCCATATCTCTGGCTGTAGGGGCTCTACATCAGGAGATGATCCAATTCCAGGTCATTTCCTCTCCATACTACCAGGTTGTTTTGGGATACCCTTGGCTACAGAAGCATAACCCCACAATTGATTGGCGCAAATCTGAGATATTATCTTGGTCCCAGCAATGCACATTTTCCTGTCTCCGGAAACCGGTCAAAGTTTTGGGCACAATTTCTGCCTCTTCCTTACCCGCTGAGTACCAAGAATTCCAAGATGTATTTGACAAAGGTCAAGCTAGCGTTCTGCCACCACACCGTCCGTATGACTGTGGTATCGAACTCCAACCTGGTGCCAATCCTCCCCGTGGACGGGTTTACCCGCTGTCTGTAGCAGAGAATCGAGCCATGGAGGAGTATGTTACTGATGCGTTGTCTAAGGGATTCATTCGGAAGTCATCTTCTCCTGCCGGGGCCGGCTTTTTCTTTGTGAAAAAGAAGAGTGGTGAGTTGAGACCCTGTATCGACTATAGGGGTCTCAATCGCATTACTATTAAGAATGCCTACCCCATTCCATTGATCACTGAGTTATTTGACCGCCTCAAGGGAGCAACGGTCTTCACTAAACTTGATCTGAGAGGGGCATATAATCTCGTCCGGATAAAAGAGGGCCACGAATGGAAAACCGCATTTAACACCAGGAGCGGGCATTACGAATACCTAGTAATGCCCTTTGGTCTTTGCAACGCTCCGGCGGTTTTCCAGGAATTTATAAATGACGTCCTGCGAGATATGCTGCAGCAATGTGTGGTGGTTTATCTTGATGATATTCTTATCCATTCCACATCTCTCGAGAACCACCACGCAGACATTTCTAGTGTTCTACAGAGACTTAGAGAAAATAATCTGTTCTGTAAATTGGAGAAATGTGAGTTCAATTGCAAACAGGTCACATTCTTGGGCTATGTTATCTCTGATACTGGATTCTCTATGGACCCAGAAAAACTTTCTGCTGTACTAAAATGGCCTCGACCTACGGGTCTTCGCTCTATACAGCGTTTTCTTGG